AAAAATAAAAATATTAGGTAGAAATATAAAAAAAAGACATTGCTTATCATTATAGTGATTTTTTTTTTTTTTTTAAATATCACTACTACTAACAACAACATACACAATATAATCACATATAGTGGGGTCTGAGAGGGTAGTGTGTACACACACCTTACCCCTGTTTTTGTGGAGGTAAAGAGACTATTTTCAATAGACCCTCGACTCAGTCAAGCATAGATGCCACAATAATAACAAGAAATAAGACGGGACAACATCGAAAAATCATGTAAAAGCAGCATACACAACAAGATAATAAGATGATCGAAAAAAAATGACATGTATTCAAATAAACCTACTACCAATCAAATGCGAGCGTACGTACTAACACTACTGGTATAAATAATCTAGACTACCTACCTACTATCCTAATCTTCAACATCCACACCTTCCTGTCATAAATCATGTTTTTGATCAGCTATAATTGCGCTATATGCCTAATTACCTCAGCCCAACTCTTCTTAACTCTACCTCTCCTAAGGCCATTCAATGTAAACGTGTCACGCTCTTTATTCACATGTGCAAACCATCTTTGCCGTTGTTAGCTTACTATTACAAAAATTCATGCTTGCGCGCCACTGCTCATCGGCATGCGCTCCTTTTGTTCTCTCATGTCAGTAAGTTTAGTCAGTCATCTGTCTACGCTCCTTTTATTCTCTCACATCTCTTCACTTAAGCTTATAACAACCATCTCTAATTAGCTATTTCAAGGCTAAAGAAATTTCATGTGTAAGGTGCTCTCCATTAAGGTGTGTAGCTCTTTGTTCGTTAGTAATTTGTTTCCTTTTGCTCTGATTATCTAACATGCTTCTACTTTCTTTTTCTTCTTTTTTTTCGGTTACCTTATTTTATTTTAAATGTCTAAAATTCTCAAAACTTACATGGGTTAAATTTTTACCCAACGCAATTTCCCAATTCACCACCGCCGGCACTCCATTATATCCCTTCTTTACCAACTTGCCTTCTTTACCGGCCAGCTTTCCGATGGGTTCTTTACCAATGATTTTTTTTTTTTTGGGTTATTTGTTCATCCTGTTTGGTTCTCAAGTTGTGATTTGTAGGTCTTGTATGAGTTTTTTAAAAGTGGTTTTGAAAAGCAAATGAAAAGGAAGACAAGAGGGAGAAATGAGTTGTCCGAGTAATATTATCCGGCCAAGTTCCCGATGAGGTTTTTGCCGGAGGGCTAATACTTGTTGTTTTTGTCTAGACTTTAATCACAAAGGGGTCGTTGGCTGCAGCAGTGAAAAATTAAATGAGAACTTCCATATAAACATTCTGCACATTTTTACGAAATGTGGTTATTTATCATTATCTTTGGATTAAGGATAAGTGAAGGGCTAATGGTGTTTGGGTCGGCTAAATAGGTTACGAATTAATGGTTGGGTTTGGCAAAATGAATTGGGTAACAAATATGTTTATAGCCCTCCACGTGGTCATTTAATTGGTGGATCCGAGTGTTTTAATGGTAGTGGGGTATTCCTGCTAAAAAATGACAGTAATGGTATATAGATTCAAATAGTATACCGGAGGGTAGATATAAGCAATATTTGCAAGTAGAGGGACACATATAGCCCTTTGCCGTTCTAAATATAGACCAAAAAGAAAGTGTGTCATGGAAATTGTGACAGAGGGGGTGATAAACAGAGCTATTTTGGACACTGCTGTTAGATGCTGTTTTTTGTTTAGCTATCTCCTTCTCTTTGTTGGTGTTGAAACGTATTTGCAAATAATTCCTTGATATATAGTGTCGTCTTTAGAATGCAAATAGACGGACAATTATTGATGTATAACAATAACTAATATACGTATTCAATATGAAATCTTAGTGGGAAAGTCTGCTTTGGAACGTAAGTGTTATGGAGAATACTTTGAAAAATAGGTCAAAACCAAATTGGCATAATTTAATTATATTTTTAAGAATGAACATTGTGCATAGTTGCAGTCCTAAAATTGAAGTTTTCCTTTCAGTTACACTGTTGTCCTCGTCCTTCAAAATCTTGAAATGGATCTGAGCACAACATACTGGTACACCTGGCCAAATGATTTGGTGGGTGAGTTTTGCGTTGGCGTCCATGATGAATGCCACTACCGGATACTTAAAATGGAAGCAAGATTCTTGAAATGCATCTTGCGTGTATTGACCGAGTATTCACTCCCCAAGTCTTTAAAGAATCACTTCTTCTTCATAAATAATCAAGTAAGTGATATGTCTACGATTTGCAGTAATTATAAGAATAATAGGCTTTCTGATGGTCGTATTGGTATAGCGAGTAACTTAGTACGAAAAGCTATTCAGCCAAAGATCAGGGAAATTCTTGTCCGGTTATGGAAATCAAATAAGCCGTGGGGGACGTATTGTGTTGATATGTTCAGTATTGTCTCATTTACTTTGGAGGATTTGGTCGATTGCATGGCTGATCGTCTTGCTCCTGATCTACTTGAGAAAATGAAGTCTCTTTCTTCCAAGCTAACATTCGAGAGAAGGTTGCGCTGGTCCATCAGAGATGGGTTTGCTAATCGCGAAAACAACATAGATATCTGGCTGCAGTTTACCAGCGACATATCTTATTCAGTGGCATGCCTGAATTGTTTGTATTGGCTTGATGACATCCCCGAAGAAATTGCCCGAGGACTTAGGCAATGTCTTTCTGCATTGATTAGAAGGTGTGAGGAATTAATCCAGATTGATGCCAGAGAGGTTCTTACTCGTCTGCATAAAGCTTCAGAGCTGTTGTTGACTTTTGATACTTCAATAAACGATCTTCCATTATATTTTGTGGACTTTGTCCTAGACAGTGTGGTTCAGTTACACAATTCTAAGGAAAATTCAAAGTTTCCAACCAAGGGTCTGTCTGAAACTCTGCATTATCTGGGGACTTCAATAGCTGATCGGTTAACACAGAGCACTGAGAATCTTAAATTGAAAGGACAGGAAGTAATACGAAGGATATATGTTTTACGAGCTGAAGTTATGGAAAAGGAAGCAGAGGCAACCAATCACTCTTTTGCTATCAATCCAAAGGTATTTTATGGATTTCTTACTATTTGCCATAGTTTATTTATTTTCGGTAATAAATGTGAAATTTTACCACACTAACAACCAAATTGATACACCCAAAAGAGCACCTAGAACTTTAACCCCCTTCTAGAAATGTTGTTAATAGTCAGCTAGGCCTCAAAGAAAGAACAGCTAATTACATAATTTGTGGAATAACACTTGATATCTACTAGCTCTTTTTGTACCCTGTAACATCTCTAATCTACACTTAATCTCCTGCTGTATTTGTTCTACGACAAGATTGCTATTTACAGTTATATTCCTAAGCTGCTTCCAATTCCTTGCTATTTGCCATAATTGTTTGCTTTCACTTTTTTATTTTATTTATGCGCATTGGACCTTAATAGTTTTTGATGCATTGATATCTTAAATGTCATATTGTCGTGAATTACTTTATCTTAATAGTTCTTCCAACATTTCTACTTCTGGTAAATTTAGAGAAACAAGACTTTTAAAACAGTTCTTAATTAGAAAGAAAAATTTATTATTTAGGAATTTTAAGGTCACAATTACCTGAAGGACCGTAAAGAAGGTCCTACTTCATATTAAGCTTATACATTAATTCAAAACATTAAAATATGTTGGAGGAATTCAAATTAGCTAGACTAAACCAAGATAACAATCAAAGATGCTCCTAGGAGGACCCTTCACCCTTGATAACATATATATACGATTGCATTCAGTAAAGTAATCAATCTTGTGAACACAAAGTCACTGATAGTCAAACATCATTGCTTATACAATGCTAGAAAAGCATCCAAATAAAGTGTAAAGTTCCAAAGCAATAGCCAAACATAAACCTTGGAGTTCATCTTGAAAACAGAAGGTTTATGCTGACATGCTAGATTGGGTTCTATATATAGTATATGTATCTAACTTATACTTCATTTTAGTTTCTCAGTTTCCAAGTTATCAAAGTCTTGAAATAAGTAAACTCAAAACATGGTTGCCATTACTTTATTCTTAAAAGTAATGAATATAAAAAGAATAAACTACGGTGACATGATAAGTTAGGGGCCATCCTTTTGTGAGTTTAATCAATTAATAGAAGTTCCTTCCTTTTTATGGAGTCATAGAAGGCGAAAAGCTCTAAAAAAAAATACTGCAGGTCTATTAGGGCTTTAAGCGCAAAGGGAATTTAAAGTTTGTGCTTTAGTAAAAAAAGGTGCAAGTACGGCTAAAAAATAAAACATATATGTAAGTCAAGAACAAAGTAATAAATTCATTTATAATATTTTCCTTTACATATAATACATTTATTTTCTGATTATATTTGTCGTTTAGTGACCACTTGATTCCCGATAAAACTCATGGGCAATGAGGTGCATGTCTTAGCGCCTTGCCTTTCACTGAAGTGCAGCTTAAGCGAGGTGAAGTGCCCTCCATGAGCTTTTCTGAGCTTCAGGGCTTTAGCGTGCTTTAAATGAGCCTTTGACAACTAGCTTTGGAGCTAAGAGAACAATTAGGAACGGCTACTGAAGAGCAACGTAACGTGATAATCCACCACCTTATCTGTCTCAGCCTTCAGCTCCTATTATTCTACCTCCTTATCCTATTGTAACATTCCTTAAATACTCTTCTTCTTATCTTATAAGGGAAAAAAGAATAATAAATATGTTTTAGCTGGATTTTAACATTGAATTTCTAGGTGTATTCTTGTACACACGATAATCGAGTTGTAATTTTGGGGTAAAGTAGAGTTTAGTAGTAAATTTTTGCCAAAAAAAAAAGTAACTGTAATTTTATGAATTTGTTCATTCCCATTGAAGATAATGGGGTAGGATCTCTTTTGTTAGAAGAACAATTCGTGCAAATATTAAGCTGGAATTTCGATGATAATACAACAACAACAACAACTACCCAGTAAAATCCCATAAAGTGGGGTCTGGGGGGTAATGTGTACGCAGACCTTACCCCTACCCCGATAGGGCAGAGAGGCTGTTTCCGATAGACCCTCGGCTCAGAGAAGAAAAAAGAAAGAGAGAGAAAAAATAATTCATTAGTAACTCCAGTAGAAACCGTAATAGTAACAGAAGCATAACAACCAAAAGATAAATGACATGCAATAACAGTAACCAGTAACTAAGGCCCGGGGCTAAGATAAACAACAAGGATAGTGTGGATTCAACATAAACTGCAAGCCATCTAAGATCAACCCTAATCCTACCCCGCCTCACCCCCGGTATGAAGTAAGGAAAGCTCTACTACCCCCTAACCTATAACCCTAATCGATGATAATGGATTTTTATTTTCTGTTTCATTTCTTTCTAGGGGAGAAGAAATAATTTATAGGTTTCGGCTTAATTCTTACAATGAATTGTTGAGGTTTTTCTTATGTACATGATAATTGGGATTGTATTTCGAAGAAGCATTGAGTGTCATCAGAAAAATTGTTTATTTAGTGTGGGCCCATTCTTACATGACATGGAAAATAAAGGGATTTATATTAAATGCAATGCTACATCACATATTCGGCAGCTTCTCCGGCTGCTTTTATTTTTAAAGAGATTGGTGCTAATTTGAGTTGTCTCAAAATAAAGACAAGTGACTTTATGTTTTAGTTTCACTAACTAACTAATTTCAGTGACCATTTAAGAAATAGACTTCTTTATATGAGATGCTTAAGGTGGAAGGCCTAATTACGAATTTAAGAACTTATGGCTAAAGTGCTAAACTAATTTCATAGTTTTGCACATAGGAATATGAATACTGAATAGATATAGCAATAAAATGAATGCCATGAATATCTTACAACTCGATTCAATAATTTGGGTAGACTCTAGCAAACTGGAAAAGTTGAGCTACCAACTTTCATAGCTGATGTGATTTGCAGAAGTACCTTCTTAATGAAAGCAACACATGCAATTGCTTTAGCAAATACAATGAAGTATTAATTTAACCTTCCTTTGGTTTCTGGCAGAGCATCCAAGACTTATGCACTCATTACTCAAGGAGAGAGCAAAAGTTGATGATAGACCCCTTCACGTGTATGAAATGGTTGGAGAAGCATGGAGAGATAAAAATCAGACATGTGGCCTTGGAGCTCGATATAAGACTTCAATATCTACAATTCATTCTGAAGAGACAGCCAAGTGGGCAGGAGGAGTTCAATCTTGTCCACCAAACCATGAAAACCATAGGAACCAACATTCATGAGGCATGTATTAATGCAAAATACGGAAGAGTAGACTTTGCTCTGTCGATCTTGGAATCACAACTGACTTCTATGCTCAAAGATTTTGATCTTCGACAAGAAGTAGAACGTGCTCATTCCCTCCTGAGTTCTTCCGCAAATGACTCTGATCTTCAGTGTGAAGAAAACAGTCCTCCCCTCTACTTCAAGAAGGCATTGTTGGCACAGGGTGCACCCATGCCTACTCAACTTGCAATAGAATTTATCAGCACTCTTCTTCTGAATCTGAAGTGTTTAGTGAGCTACAGACTCAAACCTAAGGCTACTGTGAAAAGAGAAATGGAAATATTTGAAGTAAAGCTGAGCTTTCTCAGGGGATTCCTCAAGTTGACGTCCATATTTTTCATCAAATCCGAGAGACTGGAGAATCTCGTGGCTCGTATTATAGCTCTAGTTGGTGAAGCAGCATGCATTTCTTATTGGTGTTATCCTGAAAAGTTAAGTAGAAAGATGGAACATGAAATGAGTCACACAATTTCGGATCTTTTGAGTAGGATGAAATCTTTTGAGGCAGAGATGAGAGACAACTATCTCATAGCCCTAGAGGCTTCACATTCTTCACAATCAGAATATCGTACTCCCTACAGCAGCAAGCTTGTTGTAGCCGTTATTGATTCTCTTGTCGACAATTTCATGGAGCTTGCTGATAAAGGGAGTACGTCCTTGATTTCTAAAGCTCTCCGAATTGAAACCATCCATCAAGACCAGAGTTTCTTGATAACTTTGTTGAAGGATTTGCGGAGACAGTGTAGTGAGAATATAAAGTTTGATGATCTCTTGACATATGTCAAGGCTCAATCTGACAAGATGAATCAAGCAGCTCCTTCAGTTCCTCTTGATNCATTGTTGATTGACATTTTACAACAAATCAATATTGCACTTCCAGAAAATGTTGAAGAAAAGAGTGAGGGAGATTTGGCTGACCTGTTGCGGCGAAGTATCATGGGAAGGAGGTACCTCATTTTCATGGATGATATTTGGACCATTGAAGCATGGGATGATGTCAAGACTCCTTTTAGAGATGATAAGCAAGGA